ACATACAAGAGCATCAAGAGAATTCTCTTTGTAATAGATAGATTCAAAATCATATGAGAGTCGATTAGGGTTTCTTGAGAGTTTGTAATTTCTATTKCAATAAAAGAAAAGCAGCCGCTATTTCTTTGTTTAATCTTCTTGTTTACTTTCTCTTACAAACTTCTAGTGTAAATCGTTCTACTGTCAGATCTGGGCTATAACAGAATGCATGAATTCAAATGAAGTCTAACCTGTGAAGTCTGAACTACATCAGGTATTGGTTATTTGCAGACTTACAACATAACTCTGAATTGTTTTGTTTCAAACTTATTTTCATAATTACTTCTTAGACTTAGAATACAAACCTGAACTCCTCTTTATAGTTGAAGTTCAGAGTTTCATTCCTGACTTATAAGAAAGAACTCTTGTGATTCAGAGTTATGCTCATAGATACTTTCCAGACTTAGAAGACAACTCTGAATTTCTTTTCTTCACAGTTAAAGTCCAGAGTTATTTTCCAGCTTAAAAACACAACTCTAAATTCTTGTGCTTTAGAGTTAAAGTTAAGAGTTTCTTTACAGGCCTGAAGACAAGTCTGAACTCTTTTCCCTCAGTTAAAATTCAGAGTTGTCTTCCAGACTTATAAGGCATACAAGTATAAAAGTTTGAGGACAAGTCTGAACTCCTTTTCCTTAGTTAAAATTCAGAGTTGTCTTCTAGAATTATAAGGCATACAAGTATAAAAGTCTAGGAAAATCAGAGTTGTAAGTCTGAATTTAACTCTGAAATGTCCACCAGACTTTTAAGTATGAATGCAGGAATTCAAATGAAGTCTAACCTGTGAAGTCTGAACTACATTAGGTATTGGTTATTTGTCAGACTTACAACATAACTCTGAATTGTTCTGTTTTTGACTTATTTCCATAGTTACTTCCCAAACTTAGAATACAACTCTGAACTCCACTTTAGAGTTGAAGTTCAGAGTTTCATTCTTGACTTATAAGAAAGAATTCTTGTGATTCAGAGTTATGCTCATAGATACTTTCCAGACTTACAAGACAACTCTGAATTTATTTTCTTCTCAGTTAAAGTCCATAGTTATTTCCCAGCCTGAAAACACAACACTGAATTCTTCTGCTTTAGAGTTAAAGTTCAAAGTTTCTTTGAAGGCCTGAGCACAAGTCTCGACTCCTGTCCCTCAGTTAGAATTCAGAGTTGTCTTCCAGACTTATAAGGCATGCAAGTATAAAAGTCCGATGACAAGTCTGAACTCCTTTTCCTCAGTTAAAATTCAGAGATGTCTTCCAGACTTGTAAAGCATACAAGTATAAAAGTCTTGGAAAATCTGAGTTGTAATTCTGAATTTAACTCTCAAATGTAATTCATACTTGTAAGTATGAATGTAGGAGTTCAAATAAATTATGAGCTGTGAAGTTATCAGGTATTGTTTATATCTCAGACTTACAACATAACTCTGAATTGCTTTGTTCCAAACTTAGTTCCATAATTTACTCCCAGACTTAGAATACAACTCTAAACTCCTCTTCAGAGTTACATTTTTGAATTATAAGATGTCAAAATTCTTGTGATTCAGAGTTATGCTTATAGATACTTTCTAGACTTAGGAGGCAACTCTGAATTTCTCTTATTCAGAGTTAAGTCCAAAGTTATTTTCCAGCCTAACAACAGAACTCTGAATTCTTGTGATTCAGAGTTTTGTTTTAGACATGAGGAAAAGTCTCAACTTATTTTCCTCATTTAAAATTCAAAGTTGTCTTCCAGACTTATAAGACATACAAGTATGAAAATCTGGGAAAATCAGAGTTGTAAGTCTGAATTTAACTCTAAAGTGTCCTATAGACTTCTAACTTCTAAGTATGAATGTAGGAATTCAGATGAAGTTTGACCTGTGAAGTCTGAACTACATTAGGTATTGTTTATTTGACAGACTTACAACATAACTCTGAATTGTTCTGTTTCAGACTTATTTCCATAGTTACTTCCCAGACATAGAATACAATTCTGAACTACTCTTTAGAGTTGAAGTTCAAAGTTTAATTTCTGATTTATAAGAAGTCTGAATTCTTGAGATTTAGATTTATACTCGTAGATACTTTCCAGACTTAGTTTAGGACTTCAAATTCATCTCATTAATCTAATACAACACATTTAGATGAGACACACATACTTTTTATCCTATAAACTTAAAAGTCTTATTAACTACCTTATTAGGACACTAATGAGGGTCATATAAACCCCTTTTTGTTGTAGTGTATGTATGTTAATGTGATAATGATGTAAAACAAAAAATGAAAAAACAAAAAGACATACCATAAATTACAATTAACTACAAAGGAATAAAGTATAAGTATTAAAAATATTTTTTTCGTAGTATATATGACATAAAAATAATAATTAAAAAATATATTCAATATTGTGTTTGTTTCGAAGATATTGACGAGACGATTATAATTGTATAACTTATTAAAATTAGAACATATTTTTTTTACGTATCGTAGTTAATATATAATTATGTATGTTAATGTAATAAATATATAAAATAAAATAAAATAGATGTAAAACAAATTAATTAACTAACTATAACAATTAAAATATAATTTTAAATTAATATATTAAAAAATTATTATGTGAGAGGAAGATGATAGACGGGAGGATATGAAAATTAACAAGAACCCCTAAATTTAATTAGAAAATTCCTCACAAGATGCGGTTTAGAGTGACGACGAAGGTGTGGTTTCACACCCCTTCAGTAGTTGGAATTTTATCCTTCATTAGTTGGAATTTTATGTTTTTATTGATCTAAAATAAATCTCTCTATTTTCATTTTATTTATTTTAAAATAAATATTTACGTTTCTAATTTAACCTTGGTAGAATTTTTTTATGTCTATTATAAGAAATAAAAGGTCATTTATTAATTAAAAGTGTTATAATTATATAATCCAAAAAGTTTGTACTACTTTCATAGTAGACATTTATTTCGGGATTAATAGTAATTAATCATCCAACGGCAACATCCTCAAACCGCACCAAGATAATCATTAAAACACTGTGAAAGTTCAGTATTATTTATATGGTCTCATGGTTTTCAAGAAAATAATCTGGTCTCACATGATCCCAAATCAAAGTATATATTACCATTTGAGGACTAAGGACATCCTTGATGGTGCAAAGTTGGTCTTGTTTTTCAATTCTTATAGTCATTACAAGAAAAGTGAGATCTGGTAAGGCGTCTTTGACGACAACATGTTTCAGTCACAAGCTATATCGATTACATGTCCTTACTAGAAACCTGTAGTGACGATTAATGACCTTTTAACGAGAACAAAAGTCATCACTAAAACCCATTTAGATGAGTGTTTTTCACAACCTTTATCAATATTAAATATATTTTCGCAACAGGATGCTTGATGATATCGATGACATGTCCTTACTAGGATGCTTGATGATTTGATAATCAACGGCATATTAGAATTGCATAGATACATTAGGAAGAACAGGTTTTTTACAGGTCGTTGTCTCTTAACCTCCTATCATGTGATCCTATAAAGTTCAAATTTTGAGCACATTTTAAACCATTGCACATGTTTGATTCTCATTGTTTACGTTATAGTACTCACTTAAAGCCCGATAACAATAGGTTTTGCTTCTATTTCTCTTAAAATAGCTTATATTCAAAAGAAAAAGCTTGTATACTTGTCGTCCTCTAAATTCCGCTTTCAAGTGACGGTTTTTATAAAAATATATTTTGCTAAATTATGACTTTGAATATTTTAAGTCAATCTAACAAGAAAATAAATAAATAACACTTTCAATTTTGGCTACATTGGGCTTAAAATATCTGAATCGTACATTGGACCAACCAAAGAAGATGAATCAAACTCACTTCCCCATAAATTTAATAAAAACTATATTGAAGTTGAATAATTAATCAACAAAAATATATCCAACAACTAATAATGTATTTTCCAAAAAAAGAGAGAAATAATTCATATACTGAATTTATGGTTTCACATGAAGTGGTAACACTGCACTTCTTGCATGCCCAAATGAAAAGAAGCCTCTTCTAAGTCTGCTACTGCTACTGCTACCACCACCACCGCAACCATCACTTACTTGACTTACATCTACATTATTCACCGTGTTCCTTTGAATGATTTCTTGAACTGCCAAATAAAGCTGTCGATCCGACGCTGAATCCATAGAAAACGATCTTCGGATCGGTTGAATTGAGAATAGGTCATCACCCTTTCTTCTGCTATGAACATCAATGCACTCATCTCCCATGCTTGAAAGATGACCACGTTTTTTTCTAAATTTCTTCTCCATTTTCTTCCTGGAGCCGAAAGGGGAAATTGCAACGGGTTCGCCGGAATTTGGCCTGTCGTCTTCTCGTCCGCAGATGTTTCGCCTCTCACCAACACCTGTAGTGCTACCTTCACCATCATCAAATTCAATCACCACGTAATCTTCATCTGGGCCCGGGAAATCCAGAGTTGGTGGAGGAACCAGTACCGGAAAATGGTTCTGCAAGGAAATGGAGATGCTGTTCCGGCAAAGCGGGCAATTTGGATTGTTTTGCAACCAGACATCGATGCAATCGATATGAAAGACATGGGCGCAGTTGGGCACCATTCGCAGCTTCTCGTTGTGTTGAAACTCGACCAAGCAGACGGCGCATTCGCTGGAATCTGTGTGTTTCTGAAACTGGAAGATGGGGATGGAGCGGATTACGGATTCGTGGAGACCTCTGGAGTGTGGAGAAGGAGGGTGATGGAGGACGAGAGGGAGCTGGTTGTGGTCTCTATTTCGGGAGAGGGAGAAGCGGCGGAGGATATCGATTCGATGCCAGTTAAGGCAGCATTTAATGGCGAAGATGTAGTAAAAGACGAGGAGGAAGATGGTGGCAAAGATTCCAATAATGGCAACTGCTATGATTGGGAAACTGGCATGAGAAGAATGGAGATATGGCTGTTTTGTTGGAGAGAGAGACTCTGACGATGATGATGATCCATGGATGACATGGTTGTAATTTTGGTGATAGTCCAACTCCATCTTAGAAAAAGAAAGAGAAGGAGAAAGAGAAAGAGAGAGGAGATTATCTGTCAATGGAGGTTCATGGAGATGGGTGTGATTGGATCTTGATGCACTTGAAGCATCTTGAAAGAGAAAGAGAAAGAGAAAGAGAAAGAGAGACAGGCAGATAAATAAATAAATAAATATACACGTACATATATATTATGATTATATAATTTAATAATATTTACATATGAGAGAGAGAAAGCTTGGTGGCTACGACTTTGGAGTTGCAAAATAATCTGGTGGGTTTTTGTGGTTCAGAGAGGTAATAAATGAGAATGCAACCGTCCTCATGAGTCAAAGGTTATGGCTTTGACTCTTCTTGTTCCCATCATTGTACAAATAAATGTGAATGCTTTTTCGTTTCCTTATTTATTCAAATCTGACTCAAAGTAAATAGTTTTTCCAAAATGAAGAGAGAAGTACTTGAAAGCAAATATTTATATCAATAGTTTTTGTAAACTATCTTTAAAATAAAAAAATAGAAGAAATAAAGGATTTTTCTTTAAATATAAAAACAGTCAAAAATGTTATCACACTTGAGATCATTAATAAAAAACTTTAAAAATAAATATTTCAAAAGAAAAATAATTTTTTAATATTATAATCAATGATGGATTTTCTAAAATAAGAAATCTCTTACGGGATGTTTGGTTCGTAGAATGGAATTCGATAGAATTATAATTCATCAAATGAATTTGACTTTGAGAAAATGAAATAGAATTTGACCATGTTTTTTAATTGCGTTTGGTTGGATGGAATTCTTAACGGAATTGGATTTTTTTTTCTTTCACAGAATTCAACGAAAATATTACAGGCAAAAAAACCGAAACCGATGGTGAAAACCGAAAACCGAAACTTTCGGGTTGGGTTCGGGGACATCATATCGGGGACGGGGCAGGGATCGGGAATAAATTTGGGGATTTTAACGGGGACGGTGATCATCGGTCCAGCCCGGCCTGATATGTGTATATATATTAATTTTAATTTATATACATATATATATATATAATATTATTAAAAGAAAATAGTAACATTAAAATTTTAAAAAAAAATTATCCACTTACTTCAACAACCCAAATAAGGCTCACGAAAAAGTCTAGTTTATTTGTCTAATTGTGAAATCGTGATTTTAGTTGTATGATGTTTGAAGTTCTGTTTAGTTTATATTGTAATCTAATACATTGTTTGTAATTGGTTCGATTATGTTTAAGACATTTAAACTTGCATCTTTAAAAAAATTGTAATTTACTTTTAGTTGTGAAAATTAACATATTGTAATTTTTTAGATCTGTTTCGGGTTCGGTTACAACCCACGGTGAACGGGAAAAAGAAGATTTTTACCTTAACGGGTTCCCCAACGGGGATCAGGGAAACCGCGGGGACCCGATGGGGAGCCCCGATAAGATCCCCGACGGGGATCGAGGCAGTCACGAGGATGGTTTTAGTTATCGGTTTCTGGGACGGGGATGCCACTAACCGGCCCGAACCTGGCCCGTTGTCATTCTTAGTTTTAAACGAGATCGAACAAAAGAGATTGAACATAGCAGAACAGAGCAAATCGAGATACATCGTCGATGAATGGATGAGGGCTAAGGAATTTGTCGGATTGGAACTTGAAATCCGTGGTATATGCGGTGAAATTGTGAAATCAATGAATTAAGAAATTTGTTGGAATTGGAAGGATTCTTTCACATCTATTATGTGAACCAAACATGACATTTGGAATTTGGTCAAAGATTCGGACATTCCAATTCCACCAAATTTCATGAACCAAACACCCCAGATAAAAATATTTTTTTTTCGAAACTTTAATTTTTAGTTTTTCATTTTGGAAATTTTTTAAGAAATAATTATTATGAAAATTAAGGGATAGATTAATTATAGTTTTTTGTTAGTTGAAAATAATCATTGATAAAATAACTAATTAAAACAAAAGTATATGATATTGTAAAATAAAAATATAACAAAATTTTATGTATAATAAAAAGAAAGTATATTAGAAAAAAAGTGAAGGGTTGTTCGGTTCGTTTTCCATTAATTTTTGTATGGATTTAGATCTTTGTATTGATAAAGTTGTTTGTATGACATAAGGTAAATTGTTGTTCGGTCATCGTACTAAATATACAGTCTAAATATCAAAAATGACCATTTTATCCCTCAATCCGTATGTTTGTTTGATTAAATAACAATTTGAAAAAAACGTTGAATCATTGACTTTGAAAGGTAGAAAAAATATCCAAAATTCCTTGATTCGAATTTGTAATTTGTGCATTCAAGATCCAAATTCCTTGATTTAACAAAGATATGGAAGAAAATGGACTGCATTTCCTTACAGAAAGTTTGATATTTAATATCCAAATTTCTAGCCTGATATTGAATAACATCTACTCAGAAAAATTCAAGGACAAAGAAAAGGAAGCATCCCTTGATAACAAGTCAATGTAAAACTTTCTCTTGGGGTCTTCATAAAATAAATGCTCTTGAAATAAAGGAGTCATGTAGGGTTTCTGTTAGTATGGATTAGTTTTTGAATTAGTCTTTCTTTTGTTTGTTTGTAAGCTCTATATAACAAAGTTTATGTTTCCTCAATAAAATTATCGAATCAATTGTGATTGACCAACCAAAAGAGTGAGTCAAAATTCTCAAAGCCAATTTCAACAATTGGTATACAATTAGCTGATAATTTGAGAGCCAATTTCAACAATTGGTATCAGAGCCTTATCACAAGGGATCTGATTTCAAGCGAAAGAGTGTGAAGAATAATAAATTCCAATAGGAGATAGCACCAGTGCAAAGGGCTTTGCTGTTCCAGCAATTCTAAAATTCGATGGTTACTACCATTTGGCTCGATTGATGGTAAGCTTCATTCACTCAAAGGAGTAAACCAGCAGGAGCAATACCTACAGAGGCGGAGCAATGGGACTTGATGGACTTATATGGCCACACAATTCAGTGTCAGGATCATGGGATACGGTACGGGATGGCGCATCAAGCGATCGTAGAGGCGATAGGGATACTTGTAAAGTTTAGAGCAAAGAATGATTTCCAAATAGCTCTGGAACTTGGCATCGACAGAATATCCTGCACGACTCCAAATGAAGACTTTCCTGGACTGCAGGAGACGCGCTCTGCTTCAGTATTAACTGAACCAGAACTTGGCTTGGTCTCCACAGTCATCCGTTATAGAGGTCTGATGATGCGCTTCTGGAGAATATACAGGGCAGACCATGATTGAGATGTAAATTTTCTTTACCCTTATTTACTTTTGTATTGTACGAAACAGTCCAATTTTTAGAAAATGATAATTTTGGCAAAAGAATGTTTCTACTAGCTTAGTCTTTGTTCATTACAATTCATTTATGTTTCACAAATTAGCTACTGTTTATTTTTCATTACTTAGGGGCAGATTATTAGACCCCATAATTCTTATTGTAAAAGTAATGAAAAATGTACAAGTATGGAAGTCCAGATGATCGATGGAAGAAGAGGTGGAAAAGACCTAAGTGCTCAAGGCGAACCAGAGATGTGATGAATGGTCCATAGGTGTGATGAACAAAGCATCTCCATCACCCCTCTAGTTAATAGCACTTAGCAGATTCATCAAGTGTTCAATCAGAGATATTCAAGTAAAGTAGAAACGTAAAGACTCCTGGTTGAACATATTACCTAGAAGACATCTGGAGATGACTCATCGACAGCTGGAATTTGGTTACACAAGGTAGTTAGAGATAACTCCTAAATTCTAGATAAATATCTTTTCCTAGAATATCTCATAGATATATTTTCACTAGATTGTTGTCTCTTAGACTAGATTTCTAGTATAAATAGCTCTCATATGTCTTGTAAATTATTAATTCCATCTTGTTAAAGTTATTATAGTGAAATCATTTGAAGCTTCATATTCTCCTGAATATTTTATAAGCTGTTCTTCACTATTCTTCATTCATACGATAGATTTAGGTTCTGTTAGGACCGAATAACTCTATTTCTTGGTTAAGATTACTTACTTGAATGATTGGTTTGACAGATATAATGCAGCGGAAAAGATAATAAATCAAACAAGTAGAAATCGATAAGAACACGACGAAGATTAATGATGAACACAGGAGAAAGCTTCAAAGGATTTTCAATTGATGAAAATATTGACGATTACAATAATGGAAGCACACTGAATTACAAAGGCCTACGCTGCTATTTATACAAGCAAGTAACCGTTTTTCTGACATGACCTAAAGTAAATTAATCTAAGCCATTCGATCAAAAACAATTACAGACAAGAACACGTGATAGGCACGAGCAGCTAAAAGACCTAAGTAAAACAGCTTAAAGAAAATCTACACAGAAGACATTGCTGCAGACCCTCTGTGAAGTATCACAGAGGCTCTGTTGGATATGACATGGAGCGCTTACTTCAGAGGAACTTCTTCCAGAACCTCTGTTAGACACGACAGAGGTTCTGTCGTCTTTAACTTGTAGCATGGTCTTTTCAGATGACAAGTTTCCAGAACCTCTGTGATGGATGAYAGAGGTTCTGTCACTTGAGCCTTGTACGATTGAGCTTCTTTTGTTGATTGTCCTCTGTAGTCTTCTGTGATAGATCAGCTTCTGTCAACACTTGCTGTTTTACTTTTTCTATACTTTTACATTCAAGGAATGAGAGCTAACAATCTCCTCCTAAGTATGAAAAAGTAAATCTAAACTCTAGTTGCAAGTTCATGACTTAATTGAAAGTAAAATACAAGAGGTGATAAAACATCAGCCTCTGAAATGAATTACTTGAAATTAATTACAAAGACTAGAATGAAAGAGTTACAAAAATTGAAATGTAAAAAAAAAAAAATGTTACAGAGGAGTAAGATTAAACTACAGAGTCTGGGAAGTCATCTGCCGCAAAAAGAAAATCAGCCTTGATCACCTTATAGACACTGAAGACCCATTCTCTGAAGTTTATTTGTACTTTGATCGACTCCAGGATACGT